TTAAAATAAAATCCCTTTACTTTGACCAAATTCTGAAAAAGGAACAAATCAACATTTTTGAAATTAAATCATTTTTGCGACACAAGGGAAATAAATGCTATTTTGTCTCTTTTAATTTTTTTTCTCCTGACAGCTTAAGCCTAATTTTTCTTTAAGGAAGTAAGTGACAAATCATTGACACTTGCATAGAGGAAATTTTAAATGCAAAATCTCTGATATTTTAATTTGCAAAGTAAATGCTCTTATTCCCTTAACAGAAAAGGAAGGTACAGTTATCATTTTTAGGAAATCAATATTCTTTATATTCTTTTTGATAATAATTTTTATTGTTGACAAGGAACATGCTAAAACATCAGCCAAAACTTCAAGATAATTTTTTTCTGTTCTTGCAATAATGTTCTAGTGAAAGTTACAACTATGGAATTTTCTGGAATTAAATTTCTATAACTGGACTCTTCCAAAGTAACCAATTTTCTATAAAGGAACTCTTCTAAAGTAAACCAATTTTCTATAAATGGTCTTTTCAAAAGTAGACCAATTTTCTATAAATGCACTCTCTCCAAAGTAGACCAATTGGACTCTTCCAAAGTAGACCAATTGGACTCTCCCAAAGTAGACCAATTGGACTCTTCCAAAGTAGACCAATTGGACTCTTCCAAAGTAGACCAATTGGACTCTCCCAAAGTAGACCAATTGGACTCTCCCAAAGTAGACCAATTGGACTCTTCCAAAGTAGATTAATAAAAATCACAATGTAAATTCTATGAATGAAAATAACCACATATTTTGATAATTTATAAAAACATATAAAACAAAATAATTACATAACCATATAAAGATTTCTTTTCTTTTCACATGAATTCCTCTAGTTATAATGACATCATTATGAATCATATACAGTTAGTCAAAATTATCAGTATAGTACAATCAATTTCAATTAAAATAATATGAATTTTCCAAACATTGAAACATATTTTTATATATAAAAGTTAGAATATGATCTGAGATTTTAAATAAATACTCATAATCCATTTCAGAAAATCAATAATCTATAAAAATAATAACATTAGTTTAAACACAGAAATCTATCAAATTTTGTGTACTTTTTGATAATTAAATTTTTAATATTATACAATGATTCTTTTTATCTAGTTTCTTCATCTTTTTTGCATTTTATTACAGCATTTCAGTTGTTCTATTCTGCAGAATTTTTCAGGTGTTTGTTCCAAGTGATAAACTTCCTGGAATTTTGAATGGAACCCTTTATTTGATCAAGCAGGCTATATTGTTCTCATGCTTTTATCTGCTGTGTTTAATATATTTTCTAGGGAATTTCAAAGCTTGTATCTATCAATTCTTCCTTTTGATACCAATTTGGTTTTTTATTGAACAAATATATATTTTAACGCTATTTAAACCAGCAACTTAACTCTTGATTTCTAATATTTTTCTTGTTGTATCACATCCAGTATCCTTCCTGGGGAAATTTAAAAACTCATAACAATGAATTTTTCTTTATGATTCAAGTCAGACTTTCTATTGACCTGCTCTATATTTCTCCACTACTTGTTGCAGGGATTGAATTCAGAGAAAAAGATAAGCCTTATTTGCATGTCTATCCATTAGTCTAAGTCAGATCAGATAGTATTGACTAACACATATATATATATATATATATATATATATATATATATATATATATATATATTTGCATCCTTAAATTGATAAAAAATATGAAACAAAAACAATTCAATTTGAATAAAAACTTGTGATCAAATCTGAGTCAGATTATAATATTTATATAAAAAAAAGGTCTATTCTATAGACAATATTTGTTACCCGCCATAGGAATTGAACTTACATCTTCCAGGTAATAAAGATTAATGCTTTGTTGGTTTAACCTGTCTTCCAGATTGGTTCAGCACAAGTAGCTCTATTTAAGCTAGTTGTTTTTTTCTAGATGGGAAACACATTCAGTTGCCTGGTGGATTCTTGTCAGAGTAATTAAGGACTGAACAGATTTTTTGTTGCCTGGATAATATCCCTAAAATAATTTGACATGGTCTACAAGTTTTGAAACTCTGACTTTTTGGTTGATTAATTTATTTTTTTTTTGTATGGCTTAGCAATCCTTTGTGGGCTATTTAAAGCCAAAACATATTTGCTTACAGTAACTTTGAACCTGTTGCCTAGATTTTTAGAAACAAAAAAACAATGTAAATAAAATTTTTTGATTGAATTTTGGTAATGTTCTTGAGAAGTATATAATACTTTCTGTTAATCTTCACCAGTTGTTCCCCATGGCAACTCTTCAACCAGAAAAGGGGCAGCTTACCTGGAAAAGGATGAGCGGCCATTTTAGATTGGACACACACATAGAAAATGAATAAAATATTTTCTTTCCATGATGTGTCCAAGTTCCTTTAATTTGAATTTACATTTTCGGTTGAAGCTTTTCTTTCATACATGCAAATTGTTTTCATTTATATGCTTATTATGTCTGATTTCTAAAGCTTTTCAAAAAATGTAATCATCAATTCTTTCTCATGATGCCCCACTCACTCTCCACTGAGTTAGTTTATACTTCCACATGACCTGAACCGGAAATTGAACTATTAATTTCTTAAGCAAACCAGATCAGCTTTACCACTTTTATCTGTTTGGTTATGTCTTGTCTGTCTTTTGTTGTTTTAAAGTAATTCTTTCTCTTTTGCAATTCTTTTTTGGTTTCATAGTACTTATTTGACCATTTTGTTTTCCCAAATGTATCAAGTAGGTTACTTGCTCTTTTCCTCTGCTTTTCTTGCCTTCAATCTGCCCCATGAATGTTAAATTCTCCAAGCCATCTTTCTTTTCTGTGTATTGCAAAATTTCAACTATCTCTTTATGGTTATCATCAGAAGTCTTTTTGTAGTTCCTATTCTTAAAACTTCCTAAAATTTCTCTTTCTATGATATTTTCAACATTTGTTGGTACAACCACATCTATGACATTTCCAGTTTTTTCTTTAGCTGTAAACAAATTGACCAACATTCACTGCCATTTCTTTGTTTCTAAGGAAAATTTTCAATCCCTTAATTCATTGCACAGTTTATGAAAAGCATCTTTCATTTTTCCCATGTGCCTTCAGATTTCATTATATTCCATCTTTTATAATACAACCAAGATAGCTAAATTTCTACACCTACTTGTATTTTATCTCATCAATATATAACTCATATTTTAGGTCTTTTTTTTTGCTGACAGCCAGGCATTCTCTTCTTATTAATAATCCTTTCTTCTTGATGTTATTAATTCACGTGTCTAATAGTTTATTTAGTTTTTCTTTTGGAATCATCAAAGCATCATCTTTGTAGTATTTTGTGTTAAGGGTACAGCCTGATATTTCTTCTAGTCACATTAGAATCAACTTGCTATACAAGGTAAATAAAATTCAGGAAGAAAAGACATCAGATTCTTTTTTCTATTTTTATCTATACACTTAACTCATTGTCTATCTATATGCAAGCTGTTTTCTCCCAGTAAAGTTCATTTTGATATAATTTGAAATTTAAGCTAACCTAACATTTCAAATTTTTCATGTGTTACTTTAACAAATACTGCATTTGCATAATCTATGAAGCATAGGTACAGATCCTTCGTCCCTTCTACTGCTTACTCTCATTGCATTCTCATCTTGAATTATTTCTCATACTTCGTTAAATTAACAATAATATTTAATGATAAGGAAATGCAATATAAATGCAGATTATATTAGCAGAAATAAAATATAGACAGAAAGAAAATGGTTTCCTTTTTTTTTAATTTTCTCACTGACCAACCACAAGATTTTCCTAATAGTTAATGAATGATAACCAACTTCCTTTCTTTTAGTCAGCTACATTCTGGCCATTTTTATATGGATGTCACGTCAATACTAAACTTATTCAGATATATTTAAATTTTCAGCTGTATACAACACATCATACTCTTCTTTCTATTTTTACATATTCATTTAACTAATTTTTATCCATATGCAAGCTGTTTTTTTCTTTGAAATTCAAGCTGATTTAACATTTCAAATTCTTCACTTGTCTTCTTTGTATAATCTATGAAACATTGTTATAGATCTTTCTGCTCTTGTGGGTTTTTTTATAGCATTCTGGTCATGAAAATGGCATTTCTATTTCCAGTGTTTTAGATAAAGTCCCTTTGTTCTTGCTCTATTTCTGGTGTAATTCGGTGATAAACTCTATTCATTGGAACTTTATAGATCTTTTATAAAATTGTCAATTTCATTCAAAATAGATGTTCACTTGCAAATGCTTAAAACAATATAAATAGAATATCAGAAATAATATTTTTTTAAACAAACTAATATCTGTAAAGAAAATCATTTGTTATTCTAAAGTAGACATTTTAAACTGATGCATGGCTGTCAAAATTTTTTGAAGCAATTTGAAATCAAATTAAAACTTTGTCAAAAACAATGGCAGTCTAAAATTTTTCATAAGAATATAAGGTTTACATTTGATGTAGGATTTAATTATTTGTTTAAAAACAGTGTTTTTTAAGAATTAAAAAATAAAATAAATATTTTATGATCAAATAAAATAATTCTCAAATATATATAATATAATATTTTCATAAGAGAGAAAATAATTTTTAATATTTTAGAGTTAGTATATTTAGACATAACAATATTTTCAAATTAATATAATGCTTGTTTTTCATTTATATTTTAACTCCGTGTTAACAAAAATATTTGGTTAGAAAAGTTAATGAAAAAAACTGAAAAGACAAAAAAAAGGAAGGGAACTTACTTGATCAAAACCAAATGGAAAATAATGGGTAGTTTTTTATCTGAATTTTTTTGTGGCATTAAATTGTTAGTATTATAGATTGAATTCATCTTTGTTTTCATGGCAATGTTTTGGCTGCTGTAATTAGCAATGTAAAAAAAACAATGGAAGGCCATTCTGATTCACAACAAAATATTTCACCATGCTTTGCTTTATCAGAGGCAGGGTCCACCTCTCCCTAAAAGAAATAATTTACGACCATTATCAAAAACAGTTGATCCAAAAAAGGTAAGAAATTATTTTACAGATTACTCAATAAAATCTGATTTTTTTTCTTTTCTATTTTACATTTAATCAATGCATAACAAAAGATATCTTCATTTTACTAACATTCTTATATTAAAATGTATCAAAAGTATTTACATTTTTACAGATGCTAACTTCTTCAGATATACTTCTAAAGACTATCTCTGACTCCACTATATCACCATCATCATCATCATCATCACCATCATCATTATTATTATTGTGTTGTATCATCTTGCCAGAGAGTAATTTTAAGTGGGAAGGGACAATGCAACACTGCTGACTGAACACCAATGACTGAGCTCTGAGACAACTCAGAACCGAGACAATGCAGCACCAGAAAAACATAACATTTTTATAACTGAATAAAAGTAATTTATTAAGAAGTAAAATTTTAATTAGTGAATATTTTTCTGCAAATAAGGCATTTGAAAAGGTATTATGTAAAATATGTACCAGTTTTTTGTTTTTAATTATTTTTAATAAAGTAAATCACAAATTATTAAATTATTTTTTATAAAAATATTTTAGAATGTCAATTTACTTTATTAAAAAGTAAATTACATTACAACTTACTTTATTAAAAATAATTAAAAACAAAAAAATTGACAAAAATATCTTGTCACTGTCATGCCACAATGGTTGACAGAAAAAATTAATGAGTAATTGCATAAATCACTGTCCTAGAAAAATTTATCTGGGGATTTATATTATTGAAGAGAAGAGTGGGGGTTAAAGAAAAAGGAGAAGCAATGTTTCAGCACAATGTACAGGGGTGGGAGGAGGAAGTACAAATGACAGCTAGTGAAATACATTGGAATTAAATCAAAATGTATATCCTCATCATCTAATTTATATCAAATAATAACAATCATCATATGTATAAAAAAGAATGAAAAATTAAAATATAATATATAAAATAAACCTTAAATTCAGTATATCTAATTCATCTTCATAATTATAAAATACAAGAAACAAGAGGTTACAGAGTGTTAGAGAATATGAGAAAAAAACATTCATGAGAGAGAACAATAAAAGAACAGGAATTAAGAAGACAGAAGATTGATGTTGCATATAAATTTTTGAAGATCAAACTTAACTGGGAAGCAAGAAGCTGGAAGAGAGTTCCACAAGTGAGAAGTGCGACATAAGAAACTATTATCATAGAACTTATGGTTACATCTAAGAATTTTAACAGTAAAATGAAGCGACATTGCCATCATTCCAGTATAGTGCTTAAATTCATAAGTTGTAGGTACCATAGGGAAAAATGGCGGGAAAATGACTGAAGCTGAGATGCCAGGTCAGGATCAATAACATTGCATATTATTTTTTGAATTTTATCAAGAATCTCTAAATATATTAAATACAGAATCTCTAAATATATTAAATACAAGTTTATTTTCATTAAATTAATTTTAACAACAAAAACTTGGCGAGTTGGATTACTAAAGGGAATTAACTGATACTGAGATATCAAGAAAAAAGAAAAGAAAAAGAAAACATACCAAAATGAAAACAATCTACTCCCATGGACTGAAAAAAAAAGAGTTCAGTTCGAAATTCCAAGATATATCATCTGAAGAAGGTTGGAGCGTACAACAGCCGAAACGTCATGAATATGGTAATAAAGGTGAGGATGATGTAAATAGTGTAAATAGTTACAATATCTCATCTCATAAATATAGACTGAAATCAGTTTTACTTTAAAATAAAGCATCTTTGTTTCTATTATGTTTCTCACTGTGGCTTTCATCAAGTGCTTGTTGACCTGAATAAACTACAGGGAATTTCAAACTAAACCCTTTATTTAATTAATGGGGTAGATTGTTCTCATTTGTCTTTCCATGTCTAGTGATATGACATCTTGTTCTTATCCTGTACAGCTCAGTTATTACATACCCTGTTTTTACTGAGGCTAATTCAACACCACTTGGTCCAGGGATTGAACTCATGGAAAAATAGCTTAATGGATTAAAACATTATTTTGTGAATTTGGTGACATAGTAATTGTGAGTTCAATCCCTGAGGAAGGTAGTATAGACTTGTGGAACCAGAGAAAACAATAACTGAGCAGTATTAAATAAAAACAAGATGTGATATTCATAGCCATAGACAGCAGAATGAGAACAATCTATTTTGTAGATTAAATAAAGAGTTTACTTCAAAATTCTTTGAAGGTTAACCAGATTTACAAACATCTGAAGAAGGCTGGAGAGCATAATGGCCGAAACCTTGTAATAATAATAAAGATGAGGATGCCCCACCCTTAAGTTCCCCATGTTCAGATCTTTAAAGCTAGGACTCACCATTCTCTATTCACAAACTCAAATAACCTCTGTATTACAACTGTAATGAAACAGCTTTGTAATAATGAAAATGTCTTTGTAGTTACTGATCTACTCAGAAGAGTGTCCTCCATTTTGTTATTATAGTTGCATTTTGGCTGTTTCATCCTCTGAGTTTCTTATTTGTTATAGATGGCATGTTGGAAAGTACAACAGTTGGTAGGCTCACAAGAGGCTAGAGGGTGAAACGTGACTATAACAAGTAAGATGAGGAAACTAGTCGGGGCAAACAAGTGTATAATAATGACAATTTTTCATCTAAAGCAGTGTTTCCCAAAGTGGGCAATAGCGATCCCCTTGTGGGCTCTGTTATATTGAAAAGGGGTAATGGAAGTTTTTTATTTCATATTTGTGGGGTGGTGAACATACTCAGGTGGCGGTGGGCATGTATCCATTTTTTTTCAGATTTTCAAAAATTATTCAATATTGGCTACAAAAGGAAATTTCTGAAAGTGCTGTGGAAAGCTGTCAAACATTTCTTCATTGCTTTTTCAACATTTTATATGGCTGAATGTGGTTTCAACACAGTTACAGAGCTTCTTACTAAACAAAGAGACCATCTGCAAATTACAAAACAAGGTGATTTACGATTACTTCCAAGAAGCATGAAACCTAGAGTAAGATCCTTAGCCAGTAAGCACCAAAGTCAACCATCGCATTGAAAACATTGAGAAACATTGAACCTAGATACCAAAGTCATCATCGCATTGAAAAACATTGAGATAAGAAAATGAACCTAGAGTAAGAGCCTTAGCCAGTAAGCACCAAAGTCAACCATCGCATTGAAAACATTGAGATAAGCTATCAAATGAACCTAGAGTAAGAGCCTTAGCCAGTAAGCACCAAAGTCAACCATCGCATTGAAAACATTGAGATAAGCTATCAAATGAACCTAGAGTAAGAGCCTTAGCCAGTAAGCACCAAAGTCAACCATCGCATTGAAAAAACATTGAGATAAGCTATCAAATGAACCTAGAGTAAGAGCCTTAGCCAGTAAGCACCAAAGTCAACCATCGCATTGAAAACATTGAGATAAGCTATCAAATGAACCTAGAGTAAGAGCCTTAGCCAGTAAGCACCAAAGTCAACCATTGCATTGAAAACATTGAGATAAGCTATCAAATAAAAAAGAGCCTAGCCAGTTTTTGCATTGAAAAACATTGAGATAAGCTATTTTTTTTTTTATCATTGGCATTTCTAATAGTAATGAAAAACAGCATTAACATTATTTTTTGCACTAATACCTAAGTATTATCTTGCTATCAAAGATGAATTCAGTATCATATTCAAAATTTGACAGGCGGGCATTGACAAAAAGTTTGCAACCAAAGGGGATGTTTGTTGAGAAAAGGTTGGGAAACGCTGATCTAAAGGAATGGTCTATTTTTAACATAATTATGATATTTGCTTTTTATGATCACTAATATTTTAGCAGTAAGGATCCAAATAATTCGTTTTTAATGTTAAGTAGTCATTATTTGATTAACTGAATTATCATTTAACTTATTTTCATTCTCATAAGCTGTTACTAACTCAGCTTTTTCTAAATTTAATCTCACAAACTATCTATTTGTTTAATTATATGTATATATTATGTTTTGCATATCTCTGCATCGTAGTAGTCGTAGTACAGTTCTCTGTATCCTGAATAGCAACCGAGTTTGCTAGGCATAGCCATCCCATGTTCATCAGTTGTTCTCTATTTATTCTTGTCTGTCTAATTTGCATATGATACTACAGTATACTTGCATAGTTGTTTTTTTTAACAATAATGCTACTTGGGATAGAGGGTTACAGAGTAACAGATAAGTTTATGGAGATATGTGTGAAGATAATGATTAAACATAGACTTGAACAGGTTAAAATTGTAGTGATCTGGGAAGCATCCTCTTGGGAGTTGGTTTCACAAAATAGTGGTTCATGGGGAGAAGGTCTGGGATAGCATCAAACTATCTGTTCTCCTCCTCATTGGCTTTAGACAGTTCACAGAAAAGCTTTGATGAATGCCTGGTATGGAGATTCCAACTTTGTAGAAGAGCCTCCCTTATTGCATAAAACAGGGAGGTTTGGTAGATACCAATGCCAATTTGACAGTGGTTATGGGGTTGAACCATTTTTTGTCCTTGGCCTGTATGGTGATTTTTTGGTATGTCCAGGAAAGGGATATATTTGATCAAAGTAGCTAAGTGGTTTTGGCTACTATAACCAAGTAGTACACGGTAGCAGTAATCGACTGATACTCGTCGTAGTCACAGGTAATAGGTGTAGACCAATAGGATAGCCAATGGTGTAGTCCAATGGGTTTTGTCATAGACTTAAACTCTGTCATACCTACATGCCTGTCTGTATTTATGACGGACACCAGCCAATCATATTCCAGTGAGGGGGAACTCAGGTGTATGCATATTCCATTATATCATTTTCTAAGCATAACTTAGATGTGGCACATGGTCAAAAGTATGAGGCACTCAGTCATAATCATTATAGTAAGACAAGCTTGTTAACAATTACACTATGTTAAGGTGCCCATCCTTGGCCTGTATGTATGTGTACCTCACATTAAACTGACCTTGTGTCATATCCTGCGACTGTGAAGAGGCAAGTAAATACTGTATCAGAGAGATGCTCTCTGGCCTTTTCATAACAATCTGTTTGTCTAATTCAGTGGTTCTCAACTGTGATGCATATGAACCCACAGGTGCATACTGGGAATCCACACACAAAAATAGCTAATTAGGGGTCAAGTGTGATATTTTAGTAGTCCATAGAACAATTTCACTTCAGAACAGTTGTTACAACTGGGTATTGTAATTTCTACAATAATCTACGCTATATTAAAATACTAAAAATAGAAAGACAACACTAAAACTAGCAGAAAACAGAGTCAAGCAATGTAAATTAGTGTCCCTTTTACTCTCCTGGCTATTTTGATTGTAAGAAAATTTTAAAATGGTTTATTATGAGTTATTTTACTAAATGTTCCATAGAATTTAGTTGTTAAATACAAGTTTATTTTCCTTAAATTAATTTTAACAACAAAAAATTGGCGAGTTGGATTACTAAAGGGAATTAACTGATACTAAGATATCAAGAAAAAAAAAAGAAAAAAAAGGCATACCAAAATGAAAACAATCTACTCCCATGGACTAAAAAAAAAGAAGAGTTCAGTTCGAAATTCCAAGATATATCATCTGAAGAAGGTTGGAGCGTACAACAGCTGTATGAATATGGCAATAAAAATAAGGATGATGTAAATAGTGTAAATAGTTACAATATCTCATCTCATAAATATAGACTGAAATTAGTTTTACTTCAAAATAAAGCATATGCATTTACTATTTCTATAATACAATTCCTAAACTTATCTATTAGTAAAACATAAAATAAGCTTTTTTTTCATTGAATGGTTATGGGGGTCAACCAAAAACAATTAAGAGTAATAAAATGGTCTATGGGTAAAAAAATATACTCTGTGTTCCCATATTGAAGTATGTGACATGAAATTATATCTTTGTTTCTCAAGTGGTTCATAGCTTAACAAAGAGTAAAACTGGTTTTAGATTGCACCCTGAGGTAGTAACTCCCACATTGCATTATTAAGTCATCATGCATTGAAATATTTGTATTTTATCAGTTGTATGAGGGGATGTTGTCATATTGGAAATTCTTCATTTAATTCTAGCTTATTTTATTTATACTCATGGAACTTAAATATATTATCTTTTTTTTTCTTCTTCAGCTTAATGTACCTCTGCTACCTACAACAACACGACGTATGGAGACAAGTCCCAAATCAAGTCCTAAACCAGATTTGAAAAATGTACGTATATCATTTTATACTGATTTTCTTACCATGAAATTTGAAATTTTATATTTTTACTTCATATTTAACAAGTTTCCTTTTAAGCCCAAATGGTGGGGAATAAGGTAATTTTGCATGTTTAAAATAGGAGAAAATAAATTATGGTTAACAATTAGGAAGAAAAAGAAAATCTCCTATCTAAAATACAATCACACAGGTTGTTCAAAATATAGTATATTTCTGAAATATGCTATATTTTATAGGGTTATTTGATGGTCACAAATCCCACAAAAACAAAAAGGGAAAAAGAAGAGGGATTTGGCCAGGCCATTTCATTGGCCTATTAATTGACGAATTAGCAATTTATAAGAAGGCGAGATTTTCTAGTGAAAAAGGAGTTTCTCACACCAAAATTCTTCAGTGAGAATTTTAACCTTGCAGAAATGTAGCTCTGCAAATGCTACTATTGTTCATTCACTCACTTAACCATCTCTGTTACTGACAAGTAGTAGGCATAATTTCCCTAATGGGAACAATAAAAGTGAAAAAAAAAACAGACTATATTCATTGGACTATTTAATAATAAAAACATCATTTCTCCTGGTGAAAAAATGGCTGATTTGACATTCAGTAGAAAACAGTGAGACTTTGGTATAAACTAACGCAGTGACATGATTTTATGGTGCACTTTGAAACAACAACCAGACACCAGTTCAAGAAACCTACTTAATCATATATAATATCAAGTTTGTGTTGCATCGATTTTTGTTATATAGGCTGGGCCTTCCTGCCTTGAAAATCAGCATCTGATATCCTGGCTTTTAGTTAGATATTGGGTGCCTTGACATAGCAGAATGGTTAGTAAGTCTTCAAGATCATTACTACCACTGAAGTGAGCTTGACCCACAAATGTAGACTTTTGTCAGATTAGGCTAAATTTCTGGTGCCTTGCCATAGCACAATGGTTAGTAATTTAATCTCATATTACTACTGAAGTGAGTTAGATTCTCACTTAGTGTCTACACACTGGTGCTCTTTTACTCTTCTAAGATAAACTTTGTGAATATCAATAAGCTGCCTTGTCTGATAAATTCTAAGTCAAGCTTTAAAATTCTTTGATTAACAGGGGGTCTCAAAAGTTACTATCTATTTTGAGCAGTAACTGGGATTATGAAAAACAGGTTTAAATATGGAAAATACATTTATATGCTGCAAAGAATTTGTGCTTCACATGGCGACCATCATTGTCTCCTCAAAGCTCAAAGATGCTTCATGGAACAATGCTTTCAAGCATTTGAGGTGTTATTGTTTTAACTGTGTCAGTAATAAGATTTCTAAGCTCAACTACATCTCAAATTCTCCTACTAGTGTACACCTTAGACTTAATGAAACCCAGGCAAAAAAATCTAATGGTCTTAAATCTGGTGGGTGTGCTGCCCATGGTTGTGCTCCCCCATAACCAATCCAACAATGAAGGGAATGTCTGTTAAGATAAAATAATGTTCAATTTTTGTATAATGGCGTTGTAAGGATACAAAAGGTGATTATCTCCCACTGGGGAAGATAATCATGTGGGTCCCATGGCAGCTGTTTAGTGACATCATTTCATATAGTAACAGAAGTGATCATTTTCGGTTTACAGTAGCCATACTGAGCAGTTGCTTTTTTAATTCAGGCCAAGGGGCCTAAAATTGAGACTAAAACTGCCTCTCCAAGCAGCTTACAAGACCCTGCCACCATTTTCCTTTGGGAATATACCTTCCCCAGATATAGAAAGAAACTCTGGCTTCCAGTCCTCAATTTTGGAAAACCAGTGACTCACCATTTCCTGTTTGTGAAATATGTCTTCACCTGGGACATAGTAGATTAATCTGGTCTATTTCATTCAGGAATCCTAAACATGGCTTCTCCAGAAACACAGAAGAATTATATGCGAGACCCTATCTTTTTATTCTCCTTTCATTCTGCTTGCCATGTAGATATATGATATATTTTTCTCTGCATGGGGCACATGTAAATATGTATATATAGTTTTGTGTATGCCTTAGTGGTATAAAATTCTATCTGAGAACCAAGTATGTTTGCCATTCCTTTTCCTTTCAGCCATTCCATTCTGTCTATGAAATTCGGTGTTATTATATCATGGATATAATAATAATGTTATTATATCAAGGATATAATAATGACAATAAATACAAATGGGAGTATAAACCTTTTTTTCATAGCTCTTGCATTATAGCATGATTCTCCATCCTGCTGAAGAACTATTATGTCAAGAATGCCATCTGTAAAAAGATGAGGTTCAAGAAAATGTTTACATATGTCAAGATACACATTTTCTATGACTGTATCCTCTACAAAGAAGGAAGATCCATAGAACTTTGACTTAGTCATAACAAATCAAACATTCAATTTCGGTGAATCTTGCTCCCATTCAAACGATCCAGTTGCTCCTCCTTTTTCCATATGTGACAATTATGATGATTAATTTTTCCACATATATGGACGGTCATCAATGAACAGAATTTTGTTGATTAACTTGGCACCTTCAAGCTCAGTGCACATTGCTAGTGTATGTGGATAATCTTGTAATCTGTGAAACACTTGCATATGATAAGCCTTTATTTCTTCAGATTACATTGTAGGATTCTGTGGATTGGTGTACATGAAATTACTAACATATTTGATGCATTATGAGTTTATAATTGTGGATCCTGTTCAAATGCTTCTCAAGCCAATTCAATTGTTTCCATAGATTTTTGTGACACCCACTTCAGCTGTCATCATGTACTGATCCAGTTTTCTGAAATTTTGTTAACAACTCATGAATAGCTTTGTCTGTGGGACCTTCCTTATTAAAGTTCCTTGTCAAATTTGTCTCTAATTTATTTGAATTTCAAACTTTTTATTTCCTATATTAGTAGAAACACATATTCTTCTATTGTCTGTGGGACCTTTCATATTAAAGTTCCTTGTCAAATTTGTCTCTAATTTCAAACCTTTTATTTTCCATGTTACAACACTTATTCTTCTATGTTCATCATCAATTAAATGCGCCTGAAATGAAAAATCACACAAAATCAACATAAGCCAATTACCATTTTGTAAAAACAAAAATATGCATTAATGATATAACAGTAGAGAGATTTTTTGATAAAATTATGATATAAAGTAGAGATTTTTTGAAAAACATTGGATTTCACCAAAATATCAACTTTTTAAACACCCTGTATTTAAAAGCAGCTACAAACTTATGTTGATTTTGCTTAAGTTAGATTTTACAAAGAGAAATAATGTTGTACTTTAGTAAAGCACTTCTAGATGAGATTTTTAATTTTTTTCTATGGCAAAGACACATTTCCTCTTCTTTTAATCATGGTTCTCCACAGCTTTCCTCACTTTTAATAGGAAACAACATTTGACTCTTTACCATCTCTCTTTGTCCCTATTCTGCCTTCCTTTCATCTAAACTCATTAATTAGGCTACTCACCTTTTCCGTCTGGCCTGCTTTCCTGGTCTGCCTTCTTTCAACATAAAATTCTCCAAGTGTGTGGAATCAGAATTTTAAATGTTTTTATGTTACAAGTGAAAATGTAGGAAAATGAGGTGCTTTTTCATCATTTGATTCTCTCTTATTTCTGAAAAGGAGAAAACACTGTTTTCTACTTTATATGCTGTATCTCGTCAGGACATAGGCGATCATGGCTCTCCACAACTTCCTGTTCCTTGTAGTTCTTAGTAAACTTTGTCTTTTTGTTATTTCTCCTAAGCCCTGTTCTGCTATCCATTTAGGCAAGCTCACTATGTTATACATTGTTTACCTCTGTCCCTCTTGCCTTTTATCTGTCCTGTGAGTATCAGATTTTCCAAACCTTCCTTCCTCATTATGTGCCCCAGAAACCTCAACTGTCTCTTCCTGATGTTAAGTATTAATTTCCTTTTGTTTCCATTTTCTTCAAAACTTTGCAATTCTTTGTATCCTTCTGTAGAACCAGATTTCTGTTGCTTTAAGTCTCTTCTTGATCTTTGAGTAGGTCTCCCAGACCTCACTGCCATATAAAAAATGGAATTTTTGATCTGAACAACTAAGAAGTTCTCAGCTGGATACTACTTCTAAATTTATTAAGAGATACAAAGGACAGGAAATTGTGGAGAGCCATGATCACTAATGTCCTAAAGGAACATAGCACATAAAAGAAGAACAAGCTTATATAAATGGTTGACAGAACAGAAATTAGGAGAGAGAGAGAGAGAGCAAAACGACAAACCTTAGTAAGAGGAAGTTGTGGAGAGCCATGGTTTCCAGTGTCCTGAAGAAACATGAACCAAAAAAGATGATGATTCTTTGAATTGAGACTGTATTACTAAAATGGCTTTATTCTCATTTTTCTTTTATTGGAGATATTTTCTTTTATTTTTCAGAAAAGGGCAACCCACAAATGATAATGAATAGGAATATAAGTAAGTTCTGTTATAAGAAATCTTATTATTTCTTGGTGGTGACAATTGCAGGATGTCAAGACTTTGTGTCATTTTCAAGACTCTCCCTTCCCTTCCTAAATTCAGCTGCCCACTTTTGCACTGTTGATAAAGCTGAAGCATCATCCCATAACGTTGCAATTCTGTCAGCATGAATGTCCTTAGGGGTTAAATCTTTTTTTCTGCAGATACTTGATAGCATCACAATGCCAAATTTTGTTCATTTTCAAGAGAAGTCAGTACTAGTTACGTTTGAAGTCTTCTTTGTACAGTTAGATATTAGTTTACCTGGAATGAAACAATGCAGTTATTAATAAGAAAAGATGAAATTAATACGTATAAGATTTCATAGCTCCAGCATTCATAGCCAGCATATAAACTTTTCAGCCCACCCTCGTAGATGAATGACATTCAATATCATCATTCACATGGTGTAGCTTGCCTTGTTTGACAATAAATTGTACCAGTTCTGTTAGTATATTAGCTCACATTTCCACTTACCATCTTTTTAACTGAACACCTAAAGAAGGTCAGAGAATGGATTGGTCAAAACATTGTGTTAACCATATCTATAACATAAAGAATGAGTTTAATTGTTTAAACAGATCTGGGGTTTTAAGGTTTTACAAGACTGATCACACAAATGAAAGACTCTTTTCTTTTTTTCCTTTTGATGCAATTTTTAAATTTTTTTAGATTAGTTTGTAATCCCTTTTGGATTAACTCAGTTAATCTTTCTTTAATAGTTTTGTTGATTTATTATAAATTCTCCTTTGCCATAATTGACTTTGTTTCACTTGCATTGAATTCACAAGAAACTCAATCAAGAAACTTCATCACTCTTTCAATCTTTTCTTGATAGCTCTTTTAATATACCAATACTTTGAGAAGCAAAATTAATATCTTTCACTTTTTATTTTGCACCAGAGTCTTCATTATCTGAATGCCCAAGATTTACCTTGACCCCTACACTGAGTCAGGTTGTGACACAAGGTCAGTTTTTAATGTGGGGACCTGAGTGTTTCCACTCGGGTTGCTGGTTTAAGCTGTTCTTAGCTTGTCTAAGCTGGTCAGAGCTTATCTAATTTAGTCATAGCTGGTCATATCACTGCTATGTAACAGATGTTATGCAACAAGGGGGAATGCAAGACCTCCAGCATGGAACAGATACTACAACCGCAGCATCTACTCTGATGAAAAAAAACCCTTCTTCTCCTGTGACAATCCCTCCAGAAGAAATGTGGGGGGAGTAAGCCCTTATTATCTGATTGTCCTGTTGGTAGGGTTTATATTGTGCTGAATGCAACCCTGTCGAAGGTGATAAGACACCACTTCTAAAAAGGACCATCTTCCAAGTGGATACTTGCAGCAGGGTTGGCGCATAGGTCTCATGGACCCCCTTGAATCTATGATACAGAGCCTTTCACTCTACTACATCTAAATTTTCATATAAAATACAAATTTTCTTGTAACCTAATTATGGATTATATGCAATTCATCTAGAAAAATTGAAAATAAATACAATTTATCTAAATACAGATTAGAGGCATGTCATAATAGATCACTCCATCTTAAATAAATCAACAATATTTTGTGACAATTTTTAACATCTACTTGAGATTTTTCTTGTTAAAAAGTTGAATAATTTAACACATTCAACATTATAAATAACAGATATGGAATTTTATGTTGTGCTTTTTCAAGATTTAGCACGAGCAAAACAAATTCACAGATATTGGCAGAAAAGAAAAAAACCTCAGAATCATATCAAACCCTGTGAAAATTTTTCTTCCTTTAATAGTTGTGCTTAGTTTAATTTGTAATGTATAAAAATGTAGGTAGAAAAAAAAACAAAGTAAAAAAACAGCGAAGGTCACAAATCACTGCTTGGGGCCACCATTCAAGCTTGAGGTGGAGAGGTCAGGGTAGTATACACTAGCCCTGACTTGCAGACTTGTTTAAATTGCATTCATGTCTTTTTTTTAAATTCTACTATAAACCTATGTCTCATATTGGGACAACTGAAATTTTGGGAACACATAAAGAGGAAAGAAGGAATGGTGAACTTGATACTCACAGGGCACAATGAAAGCAAGAGAAACTGCTCATATTCTGAAGACACATCAAAAGAGGCTTACATATATAAAAATAAATTGTTTAAATAATTCACTTAAAGGCCAGGGAGGAGTATGAACTGAACGATAAGTAACTCAATCTACTACTATTAAGCTTATGTATAGTTTAGCATTTACAAATTGACTAAAAGGCCTTTTACTTTATTTCATTCATAGATTCTAATTTTAACCTTTTGTAAAGTTACCTTCTATAATTTTGTGATCAGTTCTTATCATTCTGAGTATTGTTCAAATAACAGAATGGATTCTTTTGTTTAAAATACCTTCTATAATTTTGTGATCAGTCCTTATCATTCTGAGTATTGTTCAAATAACAGAATGGATTCTTTTGTTTAAAATACCTTCTATAATTTTGTGATCAGTTCTTATCATTCTGAGTATTGTTCAAATAACAGAATGGATTCTTTTGTTTAAAATACCTTCTATAATTTTGAAAAGAATTGTTCAGACAATGGTAGTGATTCTTTTTTATCAATTTGTTCTCACCAATCTGGCTCATGTTCACTCTAGACTGTATAATAAATACCTTACTGCCTCTTGTTTTTCTGCTTGTTGGAAATCCTCATCTGTCATTCCAGTTTTTAAGAACTTAGGTGAACCATTGGACCTTTCTAACTATTGGCCTATTAGCCTTCTACCTCTTTTTGGGAAACTACTAGAGGCCCTAATCAATGCTGAATTGCTTAAGTATCTCACATTGCAAGGGTTACTTTCAGATAAGCAATATGGCGTTCATTTCTCTAGGTTAACTGCTGATGTGTTGATGATAATTGTGGAAAGTGTCTATCATAATCTAGATAAGAATGGTAAAGGTCAGGCTATTGCTTTGGATATTGTGAAAGTTTCTAACAGGGGTTGACATACAGGTCTTCTTCACAAGTCTTCAGACAAAATTTTGAACTGATTCAGTCTTACTTATCAAATCATGAAATGAAAGTTATCCTGAATGTCCACTCATCTAGATCCATCCGTACTAATACAGGTGTCCATGGTCCTACTTTGCTTTTAATTTTCATTAATGACCATCCTGATGACATTAGCTGTCAACTTGGTATCTATGCTGATGACATAATCATTTACACCTTGTTAGTAAATATGATCAGTTCAATAAGATCAGATTGGTGGCTGATGTCAAAAGCGACCATCAGTCTGTTGTTAACTGGGACAAAGAATGGCTTGTTAATTTTAATGCCTCCAAAATAAAACTGTTCTTTATTAATCACCTTTCTGTCTTCTATCAGCATGGTTGATGCCAAATTCCAGGCGAGTGATTTGTTGCTTGTTTTTGGGCTAAAGTCCTTAGCTGACATAAAGTGTGAAGACTATATTGAATCTATTGCTTGTCAGCTGCAAAGAAATTTGGTTCAATGTGTTGTGCTAGACAATTTTTCTATTCAGAATTTATCTAACATATGCATAACTATAGCATTCATCTATGCTTAGAATATTGCTGCCACATATGGTGTGGTGCTTCTTCAATATATCTTAGGATTCTTGATAAAATCCAAAGATAAATCAGCAATATTATTGATCCTGATCTTGTGGCTCGGCTTCAGTCACTTTTCCAATGCTGTAAAGTTGCCTTCCTGGGCCTTTTCTATAAATACTTTCATGGTAATTGTTCAGTGTAGTTCTTCATTATGGTACCTCTAGACTTTATGAATTTAAGTGCAGTACTTCTTTCTTTTTTTTTAGTGGAATCATCTCAAGCATGGCAGTAATGTCACTAAAACACAAGGTGTTACAGGGTGTGGTAGAATTAGGAACAGAAACATTAATGACAAGCAGAAAGAGAAGAGAGTAATCAGGTAGACAGCAGATAGCAACTGACATTGCATTTAAATTTTTGCAGATTAAAGGTGGATTGAAAGCATGGAGCTGGAAGCGAGTTCCACAAGTGAGAAGTGTGAGAGAAGAAACTGTTAGCATAGAAGTTACAGTTATATCTAGCTAGCTCAATTATAAATTGGTGAGATTTTGATGCCAGTTTAGTGTTGTGCTTAAATTCAAAAACTCAAGGTTCCATAGTGAGGAGCTCATTCGAACAATTACCATGAAAGCATTTATCGAAAAGACAGAGAGAGGCAACCTCACAGCTCAACTGGTGGTGATGTCTCATCAATTTACAAGTGAGATGGCTAGATGTAACCATTGCTACCTACTGTCTTTCTGATTACTCTTCTTTTGTTCTTACTCTTTAGTAATGTTTCTGTTTCTAATTTTTCCACACTCATTAACCCTCTTGTGTCTTAGTGGCTTTACTGCCTTGCTTGGGGTGAACTTGATTAAAAGAAAAAAAGATTTAGTTGGTCCACTCTTTTGATTGCCTTCTGTTTACAATTCATAATAAAGATAAAAATCTTTTCTACAGAAAAAGAAAATAACTGAACCCTGTTCAAAAGAGCATTTTGATTTGATCCTAGCAACACTAGACACAACTGATTTAAAATTATTGTTTCTGAATCATTTTGAGAAGAGTCCTTATCCTTCCAAGATTTGTTCAGACAAGTGAACCCATTCTTTTATTTGATTCTGTTGTCACCACAAGTTTTTAATCAATCCATTCTATGGCTTTTCTTCAGATGTATAATCAATAGTGTGCAAACCAAGAAATAGCCAAGTGATCAAAATTTTAAGCTTTCTTCAAAATTATATTTTATGTTATGACAACAGGTTTTTTCATGATGAAGAGAACAACACAGAAATATTTTAAAAAGAAATGTGTAGTTTTTACAACTCAGAGAAGAAACAAAATAATAAGTCTTTAGAACACCATCAGGAATCATGGACAATTATTTCATCATTTCCTGGAAAAACTGATCTACATTC